TTGCTAGCAAGAGGTTGTTACATAACGTGGTGTCCTCTGTGCCTTTCAGGCAACCACATACATTTCAGTTCTAGGGATCCCATCGAGACGCACTGCTATTGTTAGTCTTGGGAGACACAGAAAACGATGCAGACACAAAGGTTTAGAAAAGAATGAAATAGACACCAGAAGGCACAGTGGGTGCGTAGGTTTAGCCACAGTGCTGAGCGAGTTGCAAGCACTCTCCGTAGAGAAAGTGAAGGCTTCAGGGCTGGACTGTTGTTCTGGGGAGCAGGAAGGAGGCCACCACAGGGCACAGTGAGGTTCAAGAGACTGCCATGAAGTCTTCAAGGACACAGCAAAACCTCACCACCCTGAGTGTTTGAAGACCTAAGCAAGTTAGCTGATGTTTGTTTTGTCGGAAGCAGATTATTCAGGCTCTGTGGCCCCCGAGAATGAGGATGGGCCTGGAAAAGGAGAGGCTGGGAGGAGCAGGGAGCCTTCCGGGGAGAAAGGAAGGTGGGGTTGGGGGCAGGAGTTGGGGGTGTCCAGAAACCAGAAGGAGAGAGTTTACTCGGAAGGGTGGCTGGATAGAGAGGGACAGAAATATTAGTCTGGACAGTGGAGACGTCAGTGGCGCCCTGGAGTAGTTTCAGTGTGGAACGCTAAAGGGAGGTCCAGGCGGGAGAGAGGTCACGGTGATGAGAGGTGAGGAATTACAGTGGAAACGTGGACTGCTCTTTGAGACCGGGAACCCCCCGGGGGGACTTCGGGTGGGGACCCCACGGAAGCCATCATTTACAGGAGGAGGTCTGGGGATGCAGGAAGAGGAGGGGCGATGGGGGAACTGAGATCCTTCGGAAGGTGGCAGTAGTTGGAAACAGCTCCGTCAGGTTGAGGTGCACTTCTGAAGGGATCAGAGACGCTTGGGTTGTGAACCCTAGGTATCAGTACCTCTGTAAATTTGTTTTTATTTTTTTCCTCATTGAGCTTATTGGTACATTTTAGGTATACAGCACAGTTACATTCATTATTGGGATCTTGTACCTTTACATGACAGGTCTTGGTTCTCATTTCTCCCCCCGTTCCCCTGCCCTCCCTTCACCCCCTTCTCCCCTCCCCATTTACAAACATTTTAGTTCCATTTTTTCATTTCTCCTATTTTTTCCTTTCCCCTACCCTTCCCACTTTCCCTACACCTTGAGTCCTTTTGTTCCTATTTCACATTGTCAATTATCTCATTAGGATCTTATGTACTATTATAGTTTATCCACACCAGAGAAACTATTTGGTATTTAAACTTGTGACTCATTTATTTCACTTAGGAGTATATCCTCAATATGTATCCATTTTCCAATGAATGAATCTAATTTCTCATTCTTTAAGTACCTCTGTAAATTTGGGCATTGAAACTATTAGAATTCTAATCCTACCTCACACATGAGGATGTGACAGAGTTTCTATAACACATATTTATGGGGATGCTTCTTGTATTTAAAAGAAGAAGAAGAGGAAGAGGAAGAGGAAGAAGAAATCAAGTCCATTTCACTGCCTGAAATTTACCAGATCAGTGCATGCCTAATGATAGAATGGCGCCCTCTGGTGGTAAAAATGACTACTGTACATCATTGGCAAAGGATAAACAGATGCAAACTTTTCATGGTTCTGCTTCAAGAACACATTTCAGGGTGCTTCAAGAACATATTTCAGGGTGTCTGAGACCTGTCCCATCATTTCCTCCAACTAGAAAGATGTAAGGAAGTCTGCAGTCACCAGGAAGCAGAGTAGGGCTATAACTGAGACTTAGTACACTCACCATGTACCAGCTCCCAAGACAGATGTGATCACGGTGTACTGCAAACAGGTACTAATTTAGATTTTTTAAATTAAAAAGAAAAATAAAGTAGACTCAAAATGACAAAGAATTTCTTGAAACCTAAACATGAGGCTGACTGTCACCCTGGTGACTCTTCGCTGGAAGATGCCTCCCCATCCAGAACTAGTTGAGATTCGAAGCTAGAATTGGGCTCAGTTCAGTCGCTTGAACGCATTTTTTTAAAGTTTGTTGGTACTTTTTAGTTATACAGTACAGTTATATTCATCATTGGGATCTTAGTTACCTTTACAAGACAGGTCTTGGTTCTTGTTTTTCCCTCATTCCCCTCTCTTCACCCCCTCCACCTCTCCCTATTTACAAAGACTTTGTTTCCATTTTTTCCTTTTCTCATATTTTTTCTTTTCCCTTCTTTCCTTTGCCCTACCCCTCCCACTTCCCCTACTCCTTTAGCCCTTTTCTTCCTATTTCACATTATCAATTATACAATTTGATCCTTATTTATACTTTTAGCTTTTACCCCAGAGAAACTATTCAGTATTTACATGTATGTCCTATTTGGACAAATATTCATTGACTGCTTAGTGTGAAGCAACAGAAGTTAGAGCCCAGAATAAGGAGAAATCATTGATACTTGTTTAGGACACATTGCTACTTTTATAGATAGATATCTTCAGAATATCTTAAGAATAGATATTCTTAAGAAAGAATAACATCAGGGCTGGGGATTTAGCTCCGTGGTTCTGCCACCTGCTTTGCAAGCACAAGGTTCTGACTTCAATCCCTGGTTTTTTTAAAAAAAAAAAAAAAAAAAAAAAAGTGATATCAGTGGGGACCTTCTTTTTCACCTCAGAGTGAAGAGCGAAGTTGTAAAGGTCTTATTCCAACCTGCAGGGTTAGGAGAGCTCTAGAAATGTACTGTAAATTGCAGGGCAGCAAGACTTTACACTGCAAGGAGCAGCACACATGTGCCACTGGCCTTCGGGGAAGGAGATACAAGTGTCTGGCTGGATACTTGCAGTGGGATTTGAAGATTCTGTTTTCTGTTACCTGCAGTGGAACTGCAGTCAGCTCGGCTGCCCCAGAAGCCTCAGGTGCTTAATTAACCCATGGTAGCTGCAAACAGAGCACAGTGGAAGCACTGAGGCTGTCCCGGGGCTCCTTCCTGCCTTGGGCCCAGGCCTGCAGCCAGGACTCCCAGGGTGAGCTGGCCTGAACCACAGGACACTCACTCCACAGCACACCTGGCTCCTGGTCGGAGACTTTCTCCCTTCCTGTCACCATTTCACCCCTCTCTCTGCCCCACCTACCCAGTGAGTGGCCTCTGCTGTTTCTGTGTTCGCCTCTCCTATTTCGTTCTCCATTTCTTAGGCTGACACACAGTCCTCTGTGACCTGACCCCTCATTGCCCCACTCTTGTGTCAGCTGCACCCCAGGCCTGCGTCCCTGGTCCTGTCTCCACTCCCAGATCAGGTACTCTGCTGTTTCCTCTCCCAGGAATTAGCAAGGAAGGAATAAAAATGAGAGAGAAAGAAAAATTATTTAGTCAATGGAGTGCTTCCTTCGAGAACTAGTGATAGGCCATATTTGAAGCTCAGGATTCCTAGTTCCAAAACAGTATTATTATTTATTGCTGTGCAAGATGGTGTCCAGAGGGCTGGGGACAGAGCACTGAAGAGTTCACTCACAGTCAAGGAACAGAGATTTAGATCAGACTGCTTTGTTAAGAGGGACAGCGGGCAAGTTTCTGAGAGAGGAATCTTGCCAGCTGGTTGAGGGGCTGGGGTCTTCGTAAGGGGTAAAAGGCATAGGAAAGGGTCTGAAGCAAATGCGGACATCTGGGAAATGCATCTCCAGGGCATCTGGCTTCTAGCTAACCTTTCAGGAACAGCCACGTGTGCCGAAGGTTGTTGGTCACTGCATCTGTGCAGGAGGGTCCAGCCTACTAGGGACAGACTGATTTCTGCCACATACAGCTTGGTCAGTGCGAGTGCGTTTTTTTGTTTTGGTTTGGTTTTTGTTTTTTGAACCAGGGATTGAACTCAGGTTCTAGTGCATTTCTTCGGTCTGCTTTATCAGCACTGGCAGGGTTGCTTTAATGAGGAAATTTTGCTGCTGAGGGTTTGAACCCCTACATTGTCTGTGGATAGTCACTTCATAAATGTGAAACCTTCATAAGGGATTCAGTTTACAAAAAGCAAAACTCATCCTTCCTGGAACAGCTCTAACTTCCTAAGTGAATGGCAGCCTCTGAGATGGAGTCTCCACCAACTGATGATGGCACCATGCACAGGACTTCAAGGCTTGGCTGAAGACTTCAGTCAAGAAGTCTTCAAATCTCTTTTAGAAAGTTAAACAACCCCTTTGACTCTTAGTACCAAGGCCCCACGCTGACTTGACATTTCACAGATTTCAGAAAACCAGAAATAATTCAAACCATCCTCTTTTTCAAGTACATTTCCAAGACTACTTTTCCAGTTTCCAAATGATAAACTAGGTTTTACTTGGTCTTGTACACCAGGTTTTACTTGGTTTTCCAACTCCAGGGCCATCAACCGGTACTGGTCCTCTTTGGAACGGAGCCGCACAACAGGAAGTGAGCAGCTGGCTAGCAGGCAAAGCTTCCTCTGTATTTCCAGTCCTTCCCCATAGCTCCCATCACCGCCTGAGCTTCCTGTGTGATCAGCCACAGCACTGGATGCTCATAGGAATGCAAACCCTACTGTGAATGTGTATAAGAGGACTCCAGGTTGTGAGCTTTTTGTGAGAAAGAATCTTATGCCCAAACCACCTCTACCCAGGTCCATGGAAACACTGGCTTCCACAAAACCTGGCCTTTGTGCCAAAACAAAACAAAAAAACCCACGTATTTGAGACCACTGTTATATACACATAAGCGTCCCAGGCGGCTCTTTACAGGTCTGCTTTGGAACTTTTTGCATTTCCCTGAGTTCCAGATTATGTCTGTCTTCCCTGCTAAGCCAGCTGCTTATCAAGGTCTGGCTCAAAGTGTCCATTTGAAGGGAGTCATGAGGAACTGCCAGTAGTTTTGAAGAAAAATTTTTGTGCCTTCCTCTTTTTACAAGACAAATGGGAATTGTATCAAATGTTTACAGTTAACATTATCGAAAGTCTGATCTGTTTATAAAGTGAATTGTCAGCAATTCCAGGTTTGTGCTGAGGGTTTGGATCTCGTTAGGGTTCAGTTTTGAGCAAGTATTTGCTACCTTTTAACCTAAATTTATCTCTAGTCTCCAGTCCACCGTATGTCTAGTTTCATTTGAATATATTGTTTTTCCTTCCAGTTTGTGATCCACACAAACCTTTGAAATAACTGCTTTGTTCTTCCAAGGTGTAAATCCCAAGCATGTGTCCCTCAGAGCCAGCGGAAAGGACATAAACTCATATGCTTGGAATAATCAGCTGTTTCCTAAGTCACTGGGACCCACGGGAGCAGAAGTTACTTTCAAAAGTAATAATGCAGGTAACACTTCTGAAATGCCAATGCTGCTTGCCTTCTATAGGTGTTTCCCTTTAAATACTCTAGCTAGCTTCCTCCAGTGGAGGTAGTGTGCCCGGGGAGGGGAACCCACAGTTATGCAGATCAGACTTGAGCACAGATAGTTTTAAGGGAATCATTCAACAGATCCTCACCTTCCTTCCAAGTTCTCTCCTTGGCAGATCTTCCTTATGAAGTAGCAAAGTGTTCCTCAATCCTCCTACTTCACAAAAGAAGGCTTCTTGTGGGTTAAGATGATGTGTTTCCTCCCCAGATATAAGAATATCAGGGGCTGTTTGTTACACTGAATTCAGCGTTGAGAAAATAAGTGACCCTGGACCCTTGAAGACTGCACAGAAAATCCTGTCTAAGGCAGGAGGTTTTTAGTTCTTAGCTTCCAGGAGTTTGAAGGAGTCGTTAGCCCATGGGATTAAAGGTCGTTTTTATGAGATCACTGTATGATTTTTGGTCTGCACCTCTGCAGAGTCCAAAGAATAAACCAGCAAAGCTATAACAAAACATCTTTCATTCGCAGAAACTTCTCTGTGTTGACAAAGTTTCTCAGTGGTTCTATCTATGGAGGAGGAAGAGAGAGCCTGACATGGATACTGAACCCCCATGTGGTTAAACCACTCTGGGGAAAAAAGTCTCTTTTTCCTCATTAAGAGATGTTACTGAGCAGGCAGGGTAGCATTCACCTGGAATCCTAGCACACTGGAAAGCTGAGGTAGGAGGATCACAAGTTTAAGCCCAACCTGGGCAACTCAATGATTTAGTGAAAACTTGTCTCAAATTAAAAATAAAAAGAGCCCAGGATGTAGCTCAGCGCAAAGGCTATTCAGTTGTTGAGCCCACAACTTAGAATCCTCTTACACACGTTCACAATAGGGTTTCCACCCCTACGTACATTCACAGTAGGGTTTGCATTCCTATGAGCATCCAGTGCTGTGGCTGATCACACAGGAAGCTCAGGCGGTGATGGGAGCTATGGGGAAGGACTGGAAATACAGAGGAAGCTTTGCCTGCTGGCCAGCTGCTCACCTCCTATTGTGTGGCCCAGTTCCAAAGAAGACCAGTACTGGCCGATGGCCCTGGAGTTGGGGACCTGAGAAAGAGAGAGAGAGAGAGGGAAGGAGGTGTTTCTAAGAAAATTTACTTTTCATGTTTCATAATTAAAATCTGTAATATCCATCTCTTCCCATTGATTATATATAAAGTGAGTCATTCTAATTATAACTTATAATTATAAATATTATATTATAAATATTATGATAAAGTATTATAATTATGAAGTAGTATGGTTACCGAAACTTTAAACTTTTAAAAAATTCATACATATTTTTTGAGTGATCAATTTAAAGACTTCTAAGCTAAAGTTACATTTGGATAAAATTTGGAAGCTAAGATATGAATGAAAATATAATTTTAGGGGTAAGGGCAGAGGCTTAGTGGTAGAACACTTGCGTGGATGTACAAAACCCTGGATTCTATTCCTGGCATTATAAAAATATATAATTTTAGGAGGAGAAGAGAATGCATGTAAAATTTCCAAATGTGAGTGAATATATGTTTACATCATTATAGGTGGACATAAAGTCACGTGGTATTTAGATTCCATTGGTTACACTGAAAGGACAGCTGCAGTGGTCTTATTTTTTAAAAATTTGTAATTTCTGTGTTCCAGAAATAACATCATTTGCAACTGATAACTTATGCTGAAAAACTTTAGATATCAATGTAAAAGTGTGTGACATGATACTGTCTCTTAAAAATGTGGGTGGCAGCGGGGCGTGCTGGTGCACACCTGTAATCCCAGCTCTCTGGGACGCTGAGGACTGCAGGTTCCAGGGCAGCCTGGACAATTTTAGCAACTTAGTGACACACTGTCTCAGAAGGGCCTGGAAAGATAGCTCAGTGGGAAGGCCCTGGGTTCAATCCCCATTTACGCCAAAAAACAAACCAACAGACAAAAACCAAGTGGTACGGGATTTCTAAGGTTTGGTTCCAGCAAGTTTGCAGCCTTGGGAGGATGTCCAAATGTAACACCGACACACTTACTTTTTACAGGTTTTTCACATTCTTTAAAGACTTAATTTACCCACTTAATAGAGCTAAGATGCCACCTTGTAATTCACTTATTTAACCTGTTATTTAAAAATAATATTCATAGAACCAAGCATTTATACAAAACAGTTCAGATGACAATACTACAGCTTCATACCCTGGGGGACACACAATTGGCACCAGAGAGAGCTGTGACACACAACGGAACATTTTTCTTAAAGAATTATTTCATGAATCATCTAACTCATTTTTTCTCTGCTTTTTCTATAACATTCTCCTCACTATTCATTCCTTCTTTCTATCTGCCTTCTCTTTAGAAGAAAGCATAATAAAACCAATTGAAAAACTATCATGCAATGAAAGTTTCCCTGAAATATTAAAGGACCCACAAGGTAATTTCTGCGTATGACGAATGAGCACAACTTGTCCTTTGACTCTTGCCTAGTTTTCTTCTCGACTCTTGCCCCTGACCCCATCCTGCAACGCCAAGGTGACCTGCTCTTAGAAGTCAGGTCAGTGCTGGGAGAAAGAGAAGTGTCCCACGTCCACAGGAGCCTCTTGCTGCAGCAATTGGGACCCGAACACTGCTTCTCCTTCAAAAAGCTCTACACTTGTCCTCTTAAACTTATGTTGGTAACCTACAGAAATCAGGCGGATAATTCTGTTGAAAAGAATGAAAAGAGTATTTTCTAACTCTGTGAGCAGTATCCCTTGGATTTTTTAAAAATTCTGAAACTGCTCATTTTTAAGCAACAACAATCATTTAAAAGAAAAAGATGGCCAGGTTAATGGAGATAGTGAATTTCCCAGGGGATTAATGTCACCAGGCACTAGCTCCAGCCTCAAACTCTGAAGCTCACAGATCCTTGGAATAATTCACCAAGATTGTTTAAGAAGACTTGATTCTCTTCATTCTTCTTCCCGGCCCACTCCTTTCAGCAGCAGTAGACCTTTTAGCGAGGCTTTTAGTGTTGGCCACAACCCTGCTTTGTCACTCGCTAGATTTGGGATTTTGGATATGTTATTTAGCAGTTTCTCCATCTATAAAATGGAGGCGATAATACTTACTTAGATTCTGTCATACAACTATGGCCGAGATTTTCATCATGCAGGAGGCCCTGCTGTAAGATGCAGTAGTGGCTTTGACCTTCCTTCCCAAAAGTCTTTCTGAAATGAAAGACCAGTACTGATTTGGAAGGAGGAGGAGCTATAAGAAAAAGGTTAGTTTAGGCAGCTGTACCTGTGTAAAATTCAGTAAGGGAAAAACTTCAGGGTGAGATCCTTTAGGGTCTGGAAAGCTCATTGCTGCTCTCCAGTGTTTGTTGCTTCAAGAGCAAACATTTGTTCAGAGCATGCTGTGGTCAGCCTGGGGACAGCAGGGACGCAGAGCTCAGTATCCGGACATACAGACAGCAGACTCTTCCATTTCAGCTGCCCGGGGACCAGTTCTCTGGGCTATCAGAGCCCCGTCACCCCTTTTAGCCATCGGTGTCTCTCTCTGCACAGTGAGGCTGCTTAGGCGTCTGCGCTGGGTTTGCCCACTGTCCTTGTCCTCAGCCCGCTTTGCGCTGCTGGAGCTGCCAGAATCCCCCTGGTGGCCTCTTTCCCTGGGCAGTGCCAAACTCTTGGCTCTCTGCCTCCCACGCCAGTTCTTTTTCGAGGCTACGAGCCATTGCGGCTCCATCCTGCAAGCCAGTGCTCTCCGCCTCTCCTCTCCTGTTGCTTCCCTCTATGCAGCTGCTCCTTGGGGTGCATTCCAGGTCTCTGCACTTTGTGCAGCCCCCAAACCCAGACCCCTGAACCCCCAGGCCCTGAGCATTCACATCTCCAAACCAGCCTCCTTGTCCTCCACCACATGAATGGCCTCAGGACACCACATCTCCTCCCCAAACCTGCTCCTCCTCCTACTCTGCTCCCCTGGTCACCTAAGCCACAAAGTGGGCGTTTCCCATGCCCTTCCTTCCATAGCACCCAGCCCCCCTGTCCCTCTGTCACTGTCCCTCTGTCACTGCCGTGGTCCGACCCTCATCCTCTGTCATCTCAGCCCAGCAGAGAACCCCTCCCCCACCTGGGCTCCTGCTCCTGCCCTTAGGTTCACCCTCTGGCCCCCAGGCTCACCGCGCGTGGTGGGGATGCTGAGAGGGGCTTTGCCTGCCTGGTACTTGGTCTCTACAACAAGCCTGGGAGAGGAAACCCACTTGTAACAGGTTTTGAAAGTGAAGAAAGGCACAAGGAATGCTTCAGGGATCAGGTTTTCCTGGCAGGGAACACCCCAGTATGAAGCCCTAGCAGAACTAAAGGCCTGCTCTGCCCGTGCATTCGAGGGGCACTGAGCACACCCTGCCTTGCGCTCAGTCCCTTGGTAACCATGGAAACTGAGGCAGACCACTTACCCTCGCAGATGCACTGTGTGTATGATAACCGGCTCCCAAGAGGGTTGTTCTAGGGGCTGGGTGCTGTGCTGTGCACAGCACAGCTCAGACCATAGCAGGTGCTCAACAAATTGTACTCAGAGGGGGCCAGGGATGTAGCTCAGTGGCACTGCACCTGCCTCACAAGCCCAAGGCCCCGAGTTTGATCCCCAGTACCAAAACAAAACAAACAAAAAAAAATAGAACATAGAATCAGAGTGGTCTTCAGAGCTATTCTATGGCACTTAAAATACCTGCCTTCTGACTATGAAACTTTACGATGCATCACTAGGAAATCTTGGAAGTTACACCACATACAGTCGGTCGGGATACATCCCTTCTGTTCTCAAAAAAGAAGTTGGCTCAGCTGGCCAGAGGATCCACTTAGCACCTCTCAGAGCGACGGCTTCAGGTAAGAACAGCTTCAAATACAGTCTCCAAGATTTCTGAACTGAGAGGTGTTTTTGGTTTGGTTTGGTTTTTCCTCTTAAATCTAGATGGTTGCTTTTGAGTAAAGACTTTTCAATTTGTCTCACTTTATTAACACAGTTCTGTCTTTGTCAAAATGTTCTCCCCCCCCAAAAAAAAAAAATATGGCTTGCAAGTCTAACAGTTAAAAGAGCTGGCTGCAGTGAGCTGTGACCATCCCTTGGGGTCGTCCTCTCCCTTAGTGACAGGGACAGACGGGGAAAGTGACTTGGTAGAACGTGGTGGGCATACTCCCGGAGTGTGCTCTGCTCTCCTGCGAGATGTAGGAGGGCATTTTTGGAACTTTCTGCCCTGCACCTGGCACAGAGCGAAGACTTTGTAACGCTGGCCACGGGTTCCCACGTGAGTCACCCTGCAGCCTCCCTGCCACCGCACCGTAGATGACAGGACTGTCCTCCCCTCCCTGATCTCCCGGCCCTCCCAGGGGCCTGTGACAGCCCTGTGCCCAAAACTGAGGGTGAGGACTCTGGCCTAAGCCTCCCAGATGTGACTGGGAACGATCTCCCAAGTATTATAATCTAAAATGCAGGCTCTGGCTGCAGCATCTAAAATAAACACGAAGCAGAGGGCTGGAAGTTTGGTAAAGGTGGTGAGTTGTCCTTTAATTTACAGGTTGACCTGCACTCTATTCTCACAACCTGTGCTAACCGAGACCTTAGAGAAAAACTGCTGATTAGAGTTGCCAGTCTTCAAAGTTTAAAGTGTACATGATTGCAGCTAAAAATGTAAAAAAAAAAAAAAAAAGTCACTGGACTACTGTAATTTTTTGTTACCATAGTAAACTGCTTAAATGGTATTGCGTACCTTGTCAGTATAAGGGATCGCTGCACCATTTTTCTGCTGAAACAAAATATACCTGTAGAGACGTTTTATAAACAGCAGGGGTTTTTAGGAAGCCTCAAGTACTTTAAGCCAGCATTATAATGACACATTCACCATGTGTTAGTGGCAACTTTTAATATAAAAATAGAGCATTCTGTCTTGAAATAGTTTAATTACCTGCTCCTAGAAATTGAGTGTCAGTCTTCTAAAGAGGTATTTTTTAACATACTGAAGGCCTTTTTATGTTAATCATTCTGCCAGGTTAGCATGCAAACTCCTGTTTTCATTTTTTTTAAGTAAATGCTTTCTCATAACTTTTCATCTTTTCATTTACTCTGCCTATCAGATTTTCCTACAGGTGCTGATAGCAGGAAAGGTAAAAAACAAGGAAAAAAAGAAGTAACAATTACCCACCACTTTCAAGGGTCCACGCAGACTCTTAGGAAAGCATTGTGTACGGAGACGCATCTTCCACCACCTGCCCGGGTGTCAGTTCCCACAGGAAAATAAAAGCAGGCCATTACCATATTTACGCAGCTGAGCTGTTATCTCTCCGCCCATAGTGTCTTCTTCCTTACCCTCAAGTGTCAGGAAGAAAAAGTCCTTCCTGTGCAGTGTCTCCTCCCAGACTCCCTAGTAGCCTCACCTGCCCTCTTTGAAAGTAACAGAACGGTGAGCAGTGACTCCTACACGGCCACCCACAGACTCGTGAGCTGCCCTCCCCGCACCTTGACACCCTGAGGCTTCCCTGCGGCTCTATTACAGAAGTGCTCCTGTGCTCCACTCACAGAAGTGTCGCGGCAAGTCCAGCCTGAACAACTTAGTAACTTAATGAGACCCTGTCTCGAATAAATTGAAAAAAGCACAGGCTGTGGCTTAGTGCAAAGGCCCAGGGTCAAACCCCAGTACCGCAGTAAATGCAGTTACATCACAGTGGCATGGATAAAATCTGTGAGTGGAGGCCATCTCCTTTCCTTTTGCATTTTCTATGAGAAGTTTAAAGCCCTGGATGGGACAAATGCAGTTTTTAAAATAAGCACACAAGCATCACGGGCTGTCTGCCCTGCTGTGGGAGGCAGGTGGCCGGGCCTGGGGGTCAGGTAGCTAGTGGGCACCTCACCAGGATGCTCCCGTCCTAAGACTCGTTTCTAGGAAGGAAATCCTAAATCTCCACACCACCACCTTGCTGCCAAGATGAGCCCCTCCTCTAGGAAGGTGGCTGGATACCGTGCTTTCAAATGCATTTAGGACTCGGCTTAGGCTGTGTCGTGACCGGAAACAAACCCCTTTTGCTACTTCCCTTCACTTCTCACCCAGAGCCTCTCCCAGTAGCTTAAGACCGAGTTCCCTCTTCCCTCCCTGAATGAGCTGCTCTCATCCCTTCTCTCCCTGTCTGTGCTCCTCACTCCTCCCATGGCGCCGTTGTGCCTGCCCCCACCCTGTGTGCGGCCCTGTCTCTTACCCACTGGTTACAGCTTAAGGCTGTTCCGGAGACCCTGGTGCCACGCTTGGCACCTCCAGATACACTGGCCCTGCCTTTTCTTAGGAAGCTTTTTGGTGGACAAAAAGCAGCATGGCCAGGTGACCGACCAGCCCACACTGCGGGGTGGACCTGGGCAGTCTGAGCAACCTGGTGCTGTGAGCTGAAGCTGCATACCAGGGCCCTGTGCTCTTGAGGCTTCCCCTGCGCTCTGCTAATACAGCCCGTGTCAGGGTACAGCGCGGCTTTTCCAATATGGACACAGAGTCCGCTCCAGGAGTGACAGCCACTTCACCAGCTGAAAGATGTTTAAGTCCCAAGTGGCGGGAAGTCCAGTCCCTCAGAGGGAAAGACAAGGGGAGGGGCTCCTAGTCTGCAGGGAGGAAGGGGTGAGGAGAGACAAAACACATTAAAGTCCTCTGTAAAATGATTTACTCTTTGTCATTTGAGATGTTGAAGCAGCTTTAGCTTATTAGTTGTTCATATAACAAAATTTTAAAGCTTTTGCAAGTTTTTTTTAGCAGTAAAATATATGAACAGGATAAGCCTTATGATTAAATGTTTGGGATCCATGAACAGGTTACCATTTAAGGGGGGGCTGTTTTATCACCCATAATTATTCTAATATAAAATGAAGTTTCTTGCCAAGCAATGCCAGACACCTGTATCTCAGTTCCTGAGAAGCCTGAGGCAAAGGCTAGGCTGGCCTGGAAAACATGGCTAGACACTGTCTTTAAAAAAATTCTTAATTCTAGAAACCATACTTTGATTTTCAAAAGGAAATTAGAATTCCATATGCATAGCTCCATGAAGCTAGGGTTTTTCAGGATTCATAATTGCAAATACATTTTCCATAGTGATGCTGTGTCTCAATATTGCTGCTCTGTAACCACAGTGTGGTATTGTAGTCTGACCCTGTGCATGGCACTCATGGACTTTGAACCAAGAATCTCTCTTGGTCATCTTACAAAGTGTGCCAGGCTTAATTCAGTGTACTTGAAATATCAACAACATCAGAATGAAAATTCAGAAATAATGGCTCACCCAACAGTATGTTATATACAAGAAACACATTTAACACAGAAAGAAATCCATAGCTTAAAAAATCAAAGGCTGAAAAACAATATTCTATGCAACGGGAACCCCAAAGCAAGGAAGAGTAGCTATCCTATTCTCAAAGAATTTCATGCCAAAGCTGATCAAAAGAGGCAAAGAAGGACTTACGTTTTGGTTAACAGAACTATTCAGCAATTATAAACAATACCAATTATAAACATGTACACACCAAACCATGGTGCTCCCACCTATGTAACACAAACTCTAATGGACATATATGATCAGATAAACATCAATACAATTATAGGAGGGGATCTCAACACCCCACTATTACAAATAGACAAAGCAACTAAACAAAAAAACGAAAAAGAAATATCAAAGTTGAAGTAAACCTTTGAACAAATGAACTTAATACAAATACACAGTGTTCCAACAGAATACAGAATACGCATTCTTTTCAGCTGCACATGGTACTTTCTCCAAAATAGACTCCACACTAGCTAATAAAGCATGTCTAAATAAATGTAAAAGAATCAAAAATTTCCCGTGCATGTCATCAGATCACAGTGCAATGAAACTAGAAATCAATACCAAAAGAAATCACAGAAACTACAAAAAGATGGAAATGAAATTATACACTTGAATAAATCAATGGGTCACAGAGAAAGTTCAGGAAGAAATAAGATAGCTCCTAAAATTAAATGATAATGTCACCACAATACCACACCTGTGGGACATAATGAAAGCAGTGGTCTGAGGGAAGTTTATAGTTGTGAATGCCCACATCAGAAAACTAGAACAAAACACAAATAAATAGCCTAATAATGCATCTAAGGTCTTAGGAAAACAAAAACAATCCAAACCCAGAGCTTATATAAGAAGGAAATTATAAAGAGGACAGCAAAAATAAATAGAGAGTTAAAAAGAGAATCACTGAATCAAAGAGTTAGTTCTTTGAAAGAATAAGCAAAACAGACAAACTCTTAGGCAACCTTGTCAAAACGAAATAGAAGACACAAATTAATGCAATTAGAAATGAAAAAGGTTTCAGACTAAAAAGAAAAAGGTAAAGGCACAAATGACACTGACAATATCTATAAAATTATTACCAACTACAATGGCACCTCAGTTCACAAATTTGCCAAAATTTTGTTTTTGTTTGTAAACTCTACATCAAGTGATAAACACGACCATAGCCATTTTTCCTCACACAAATACAAATGTGGCCATCTTTTCCAAAATAGTGGAACAAATTAAGTTTGTGAACTGTGGTACTACTGTCCTTCACAAACATATATTTCAAACAACTGGAGAACTCAGAAGAAATGGAGAGGTTACTAGATACATGAGTTGCCAAAACTTCACCAAAAAGACTTAAAAATCTTTAATAATCCAATAATATGCAATGAAATTGAAGCAGTAATTTTTAAAAAGACCAACTAAGAAAAGCCCAAGACCTGATGGATTCACAGCCAAATTCTACAAGAACTTCGGGGAAGATCTAACACCAATATTCCTCAAACTTTTTAATGAAATTGAGAGGGATGGGGTACTTCTAAAATCATTCTTGGAAGCTAACATTATCCTGATTCCAAAAGCCAGACAAGGAACCAACCAAAAAAGAGAACTATAGACCAATTTCTCTAATGAAAATAGCTACAAAAATCCTCAATAAGATACTGGCACAAATGCAAGAGATCAACAAAACGACTGCACGCCATGACCAGATAAGCTTCATCCTAGGGATGCAAGGATGGTTCGACACATCCAAATAATAAATCTGATTTACATAAACAGAAGCAAGGAGAAAAACCATATGATCATCTGATTAGATGCATAAAAAGCCTTTATCAAAATCCAACACCCATTTATGACAGGAAAAAAACCCAACAAAACAACTTTTCCACCACCTGCTTTGCAGTTGCAAGGACCTGAGTTTAATCCCTGGTAACCAAACAGAAAAAAAAAACCCTGAAGAAAGAACGTCTTTATCTCAATATGATAAAAGCCATTTATGACCAACCTACTGAAAGCCTTCCCTCTAAAATGAGGGACAAGACCAGGGTGTCCACTATCAATATATCCATGAAACACCAGCCAGAAAAATCAAGCAAGAGTAAGAAATAGAAGGGACATATATAGGAAAGGACAAAATCAAAATATCATTATTTCCAGATGACGTGATCCTAGAAACTTCACCAAAGGACTCCTAGAATTGATAACCAGGTTCAGCACTGTAGCAGGATACAAAATAAATGCACAAAAATGAACAGCATTCCTATACGGTAATAATGAATTCACTAAAAAAGTAATTAGGAAAACAATATCATTCACAATAGCATCAAAAAATTAAATATTAGGTATTAACTTAAGTGCAAGTCTGCTGCAATGAAAATTACATCACTTTGAAAAAGGAAATTGGGGAGAACATCAGAAAATGAAAAGATAGGGCCAGGCATGGTGACACAAGCCTATAATCCCAGCACTTGGGAGGCTGAGGCAGGAGGATCACAGTGAGTTTGAGACCAGCCTGAGCTACATAAAAACAAACAGAAAGAAGATGGGAAGACATCCCCTGTTCCTAAATAGGTAGAGCCAACATAGTCAAAATGGTTAGACTTCCAGGGTTGGGAATTTAGCTCAATGGTGCCATTGCCTGCCTTGCAAGAACAAGGTCCTAATTTCAATCTCTGTTACAAAGAAAAAAAAAAAAGGCTATACTTCCAAAACGGATATACAGATTTAATGCAGTACCAATCAAAATACCACCATCATTTCTCACAGGGCTAGAGAAAACAATACTAAAATTTCTGTGGAATCAGTTTATGTATAAACACACAAATAAAGAACAAAATAGGAGCGAGATAAACAGGAAGTCGGGAGAAGTTCAAATTCCCCCAAATACATGTATAACTGATATTGCATAATAGGAAAAAAGGTCTAAAGGTGTAGGGGAAGTGGGAGGGGTAAGGAAAGGCAAGAAGGGAAAAGAAAAAATAAGAGAAAAGGAAAAACATGGAAACAAAGTCTTTGTAAATAGGGAAGGGTGGAGGGGGTGAAGGGGGCAGGGGAATTAAGAGAAAAGGAAAAACATGGAAACAAAGTCTTTGTAAATAGGGAAGGGTGGAGGGGGTGAAGGGAGGGCAGGGGAATGGGGAAGAAATAAGAACCAAGACACATCATGTAAAGCTACAAGATCCCAATGATGAATATAACTGCAGTGTATACCTAAAACGTACCAATAAAAATGTTTTAATATATATGCTGATTTATTTCAATCACACTAGTTTACATTAGATCACTGAAAAGCAAGTTTTGTGTTTGTTTCTGTTTTGTAATAATCTTCTTGGTTTTTATCTTGAACTCTGAGAGTTTGAAGCCAGCCTGGGCAGCTACATAGTTAGCTCAGGGCCAGCCTGAACTACAAGCGACATCCTGTCTCCAAAAAATCCAAAACCGAAACAGGCACTGTGGTGCACACCTATAATCCCAGCACTCTGGGAGGCTGAGGCAGGATGGCTAGTTTGAGGCCAGCCTGGGCAATGTAGCTACTTAGCGAGACCCTGTCTCAAAACAAAAAATGAAAAGGGGCAGGGGATGTAGCTCAGTGTAAGGCCCTGGGTTCAATCCCAGTATCACAAAAACACAACCATTAAGAAGTGTTCATAAAAAAGAACTCAAAGACCACTGAATAAATCTATTTATGGTAAATTCAAATTCCCCTCATAAAATGGGAGGATGAGTTCATTTATTTTTGGTAATCAAGTAAGTAAAATTCTAATTTCTGATTCTGATTTCTTTCAGAATACACCTGGAGCACAAAACCTGGTCGGGGACAGTTTTCGGGACCTGCCTACAGCCCGACCACAAAGCAGCTCCCCATCATGACGGGGACTCAGCCGGTGCCCTCGGTGCACGGGAGAACGGACTGGGCAGCCAAGTACGGAGGCCACCGGTAGGGCAGGGCCTCCAGAGTGCACACTGGGCCCCTGACCCTGGCTGTCCACAGCGGTCCATGTCCACTGAGTTCCAGAAGGATCCAATTCCGCAGCAGTGGATGCTCGGAGCACAGATCGCCTCCTATTCTCTTTCTTCCCTAGAAGTGAAACACATTTTCTCAGCACTGTGGCTGGCAGTGCTGATAAATGGGTAGGACTTTACAAAGTATTGAATAAACTATTTGCCAAAGTATCGAGTATTGGATGGGCGAGTTAATAGATAGTAGGTACAATAAGAAGACAGTAAGTGTCGAGGGTTTGGTCTCCATTCCTGTCACCCTGGCCCAAGCAGTTGTTTCCTCGCTGTGCAGTGATTGGCCGGGGGTTGCTGTCTTCTGTGCAGTTTTTCTGTAGCTGCAGAGGCCCCATGTGGGCTGAAGCTAGGCTCCCCCACTCGGCAATGCCAGTGAGACCGTTACTCTATCATTTATTTTTCTACTTTAAGACTATGGGATCAGTGGCAACTCTAATCTACAGAAGATCATCTTTCTTGGAAATAAATTTATTTGTAACATAGATGAGAACAAAATTACACCACCAGGTTTTAGGCGGCTGTGAATCCAGTGACTGTGAAACCAGTGGCTGGACAGCTTCCTGCTAAGCGGTCACACAGGTGGGAATGCTCTGGAGCCTGAGTTGGGCCGCGTTCACCGCACTCTGAAAACACTTTGCATCCATGTTCCCGCCACACACCAAGTGACAAAGTCCACATGAGCAAGCTGCACCCCAGAGCAAACCCTGCTGCTGCGGGCTCCAACCTTCACTTCCACTCCCAGAGCACAGGCCCTCCGCTGCCTCAGCAATGGGTTTAAACATTTTTAGCACATCGTGTTTCTTAGTTTGACTCCTACATTTGTACTTAAAATAGAGATTTGGAACAAAGGACTATTCTGTCTTTATGGACTGGGCCTTATTTAGTACTGTATATTCTTTCAAAAGAATAGTAGTACTGTCAACTGTGATGCTTTTATGCATTTTGTGACTTAGAAACAAACGCTAATGTGATCGATATCATCTTGCGCGCATTTATCCACAGGCACACCATAAAATAATTCTATGATATTCCCTGTGCACAGCAGATTCAGCTGTTCGGAGATCACATGTTGAAAATCTGAAGAGTAATTTATCCTCACAGGTATAGGTTATGAGTATTCGTACAGTTTTAATGTCTCAAAGCTTATATTTCTTTTGTGTTTCTGAGGAAAAACTGTGAATATTTAAATAAATATGGCTAAGTGATATGTTTTCTTTACATTTTATGATTTTTTTTTATCCTGAAGCCTGTTTTCACTAGCAGACTTTTTTGGGAGGGACACTTTTTGTGTTTACAGAAATATTCATCAAAATGTACAGAGAGATCTGGGTGGGGACCCACATCTGTAATCCTAGCACTTGGGAAGCTGAGGCAGGAGGATCACAAGTTCGAGGCCAGTCTGGGCTACATAGTTGAGACCCTGTCTCAACGAACAAACAAACAATATAGTACAGAGAGTTCCCATATAGTACCTCTTATCCTGATTTTCCCTATTACCAACATGTTGCATTATGAGGGTGCATGTTTACACTGATGGGCCCTTATCGATACAATGTCAGAGACTATGTTTTCCATTATAGCAGCCCCAGTGCATCATTGCAATGTCTTCTTGTACAGTGCTCTCACTGCACTGAAAACCCCTGGCTTGCGCTCTACCAGTTCAATCCTAGCTGCCTTCCCCTGAACCTCTGGTGACCACTGATTTATTGTCTTCAATAATTGTTTTATTTCCAGAATTTCACATGGTCGGAATCATGTGGCATGTAACCTTTTCACGATGGCTTCTTTCACTTAGCAATATGCACTTAACGTTCCTCTGTGTTTTTCTGAGCTTGCTAGCTCGTTTTCAACACGGAATGATATCCTGTTGTGCAATGTCACCTACCTACCTGCTGAAGGACATTTTGAGTGCTTCCACATTGGGGCATTTGAATAAAGCTGCTATGAACATTTATGTGCACGTTTCTGTGTGGGCATCGGTCTTCTGCCTACTTGGGGAAATGCTAAGGAGTGCGACCGCTGGATGACGTGGGAGAAGTGTTTGGTTTTGTAAGAAACTGCACGCTGTCCCCAAGTGTGGCTGTACCAGTTTGCCTTCCCAGCAGCAGCGTATAAGAGCTCCTGTGGCTCTGCACCCTTGCTTGCATTTGGGGCGTGAGTGCTGTGGACTGAGGCCATTCTACCAGGCAAGCGGGGGTCCCCGGATGGTGGCTCTGTTTGCAGTTCTCTAATGACGGCTCACTGGCCACCTTGTATCTTCTTTGGTTAAGCTTCTGTCCCAGCCTTTTGCTCACTTTTAAGCAGAGTGGTTTGTTTTCTGTAGGTTGAGTTTTAAGTACTTGGTACATTTTGGAAAACAGCCATTTTTCAGATACACCTTTCACAAATATCCTAAGACCCGTGTCTGGTCTTTATTCTCTTGACAGCATGCTTGACGGAGCAGAAGTTTGTTTGAATGAATTTCAACCTCAGGAATAGGACTTTTGATGTTCTATCTAAAACATCTTTACCAAACCCTAGGTCATCGTGTAGGCTTTTTATATTTTTCACTTATCTAAATGGATTTAACACATTTTAAGTTGATTTTTGTAAACAGTGTAAGTTCTGTGCCTTCATTTTCACTTTTCAGGTCAACGTCCATCATTCTGCACCATTTATTGAAAAGGCTGTCTTTTCTTCACTGAACTGGCTCGCTCCTCTGGTAGAGATCAGCAGACTGTACTTTCGTGGGTCTATTCCTGAGCTCTTTATTCGTCCCTCCTAGTCTAGCTCTCTGCTTTCTCACTACTACCACACTGCCTTGATTATTGTAGCTTAGGCCAGTCTTCCAATTTGTTTCTCTCCACCAGCACTGTACTGGTTACTACAGGCTTTTCACCTCTCCATATAAATTGCAGAGTCAGTTTGTCAAGCTGGGTGTGGTGGCGCATGCCTGTAATCCCAGCACTCTGGGAGGCTGAAGCAGGAAGATCATGGGTTTAAACCCAGCCTGGGCAATTTAGCAACTTAGCAAGACCCTGTCTCAAAAATAAAAGGGTTTGAAAAATCAGTTTTCAATATCCAGAACATAATTTACTGTGGTGTTGACTGGATTTGGGCTAAATCTTGATGAAGTTGGGGAGAACTTCCTATCCATGTACACAGAATTTCTGTGCATTGCTTTAGGTCCTCTTTGATGGTTCTATCAGTTTGATAGTTCTCCTTATACAGATCTTTTATATATTTTGTTAGATTTATGATTTATGCCTAAGTATTGGTTTTTTGTTTGATACTAATGTAAATGACATTGTATTTGTAATTTCAAATTTTAGTGAATCACTGCTAGAACACAAGAGAACAATTGGTCCTTTATATGCGTTTTTTTTTTTTTTTTTGAGACAGGGACTTGCTATGCAGTTTTGTTATGAATGGGGGTGGAATTCTGTCAAACCGTTTTTTTCCATCTACTGATGTTATGATGTGATTTTTCTGTAGTCTGTTGATGTGTTAGATTATATTAACCTTCAAATGTTGGCCAAGCCTTATGTACTGCTACAGATCCCACTTGGTCATGGTATATAAGGTATACACTGTGAGATTTGATTTGCTGGCATTTCGTTGATTTTTCATCCACATTTCTATATACCGAGACAGAATATGTGCCTAACATCAACCAGTGAACTGATGAAAACACATGAAGGGTATGTGGGAGCTCGTGAAAATTATTGTGGCTTTCATTAGATTTAAAAATTTCCAAGATAGGGTTGGGGATTTAGCTCAGTGGTTCTGCCACCTGCCTCGCAAGCACAAGGACCCAAGTTTGATGCCTGGTACAAAAAAAAAAAAAAAAATAAAAAAAAATTCCCAAGACAAAATGTTTGTTTGTTTTGTTTTTTTGTTGTGGTACCAGGGAACAAACTCATGACGTTACACTTGCAAGGCAAGCATGGCACCATTGAGATAAATCCCCGGCCCTCCAAGATAAAATGTTAAAACACACACATACAAAAACAAATGTACAAGGCAAAGATTTATCATAAATACTGAAAGAAAATATATGACCATAATCAAAGTGGAAGGATTTTTCTGAAAAAGATCTAGACACCTAAAATACATATATGAATACACGAATGAGTAACAGTACATTAAGAACATCCAGTACATACAGCACATACGACTTGGACCTGTAGGAAAGCGCTCCCATTCTTCTGACACGTGTAACGTTCACAAAAAGGTGACCCTATATTAGGCCACAAATAAAATATCAAATTCTCAAATGTGGAAATATATAAGCCACATTTCTTTCAACGGTACAATAAAACCAAAGTATAACAATTACCATTTATTAACTTAAAATTTCAGTAACAGCTGGGTGTAGTGGCACACGTCTGTAAACCAGGCGTTCTGGAAGGCTGAGGCAAAAGGATGGAGCCCAGCTTGGACAACTTAGTAAGACACTGTCTCAAAAAACAAGCAAGCAGGCTGGGCGTGGTGGCACACACCTGTAATCCCAGCACTCGGGAGGCAACGGAGGCACCATGTCTCAAAAACCAAAAAAAAAAAGCAAGCAAGGAACAAAGACTTGATCAAACTATTCAGCAAATACTTACATAACTGATACTACTAAGTACAGTACATATGGTAGTTACAAAAGGGCTGTTTTCCTGTGCTCATAGAATATATCCTAGAGGCAGACACTAAATAAACACAAAGGAAAACTGTGCTTGCAAATTCTGATGAGTGCTATTAAGAAAGAAAACAAGATCTTATGAAGACTTGTAGAGGAGGAATATAAATGTAGTGAAAGGCCACTGCATGGTTTAAATTATTCTTAAAATACAGTATGTCTCTGTCTGTGAGATACAGAAGGAAATATAGGACCAAAAGCATAAAAATAAGGAGCCCTCCTGGATTTTCTTTTCTTCCTCCTCCCTCCGTTATTTTTTCTTTCCCCTCCTTCCCTTTCTTCCTTCCTCTCTTCCTCCTTTCTTTTTTGCATTACTAGGGACTGAACCCAGGGCCTTCACATTGAGCTACATCTCCAGGCCTTTTGTACTTTGCACACATTTTAGAGACGCCTAAGTGCTGCTCCCAGCCTGCTCCAGGAGGCCGGACAGCCAATGCATCCAGCCAAAATTCACACCTGGACCTACCCCACAGGCAGGCAGCCTGCCATTGTGCAGTTCTCCAGAGCAGGCCTCTTGTCCAGCCCATCCCCCACAACACCTCCACCCCACCTGGAGTCCAGCCTGCAGCACCACGCAACCAGGGAAGACATCCTGCCTCGACCTGACCAGAGCTATCCCAGTACCCAGCTCTACCTCACAATGCCCAGCAAGAGTAAAGATTTCAGTTTCCAGTTGTTCTCCTCATGATCTATCGATAATTCAGTGCAATCAGAATAGGAATTGCAAGTACAGTTTTAAAATTAAATGTGCATTTATCTAGAAAAGTAACCATCGAGAAAAATCTGGCCAGGCCTGATGATGCAGGCCTGTAATCTCAGCACTCTGGGAGGCTGAGGCAGGAGGGCTGCAAGTCCAAGTTCAGCTTGGGAAATTTAGCAACTCAGGGAGACCCTGACTCAAA